AAACCCCTAAACCATGGTGGAGTCCAACGCAGGCTCAGAAAAAAAGGTAATGACTCCTAAATCTTATTAGTATATACATTTTCTAAATGTGGTACTGCAACTTTGATCACTGGCGTGTTTAGTTCAGGGATGATAAATGTGGGTTTTAGAGTTAACACTGCAAACCTGTAATTTTATGTGCATTAGCAAATGGTAAATAAGTTGCTTCATTGTCTTTTGATGTGTCTTATCACACCTTTTTCTCTTGGATTACACATTAACTGTCCAAGTGTTTCAATAAATATGAAACCGCACTACTTCTAGTGTGAACCGTTAAACTAAAACTGTGAGGACATTAACAATCTCATGGTTAATAAAAGCAACTCTTAAGGCTCAGTGTTCTGATGGCTGAGGGTGATAAAAATGTTCCCTCCATTAAATGTCTCAGATAAGCATGGCGAACACAATCTCATCCCTTGAGTGGAGGAAAAACCGTGTTATTGGCTGCCGCATTATACATGGCAGCTGCCAATTTCTAGGACGTTCCTTGGCATCTCTCCGAGACAGTCAGTAATTCAGTCCTGAGATGAGCACCGAGAGTCTGTGCGCGTCGATGCGCCTCTGAGCGCCGCTTGTGTTCGCCTCAGACGCTCCTTTAACTGCAACACCAGGCTCATGACTCGGTCACAAACACAACGGCGGCGATAAATCTGCGCTAGTGGCTCTCTGTGCGTCTGAAGAGCTTCCCAGAAAGAGTAGAGATGGTGCTCTGGGACTGAGAGCGAAGCTTTGAGCAGACCATGAAATATTTAGTGAGAGAAGATATGATATGAGATAACTGTGCTGCAGTTTGTGTTGCACATTAAGCCTTCGAGCAGAAACATTCCTGTACAGTAAAGTGTGGGTAGTAATTTATGGGACTGCTTTGCAATTAAGACAATACTGTCAAAGACAGAGTCCAGACATGAATGTATGTCTGCAGTTAACCTGTTCACTTTACTCAGAGCATGCATTATGCAACGTGTTTTTATCAGTTCAAAGAGTTCAGTTCCTTTCAAAAAGAGGAGAGTTTATCAGCAGTTGGTATCTAACCTGTAGGCAGATGACTGTCTAAAGTCTGAAAATGATTTGTTTGGACCAGATAAAACTGTTAATGTGACATTTGCATATATCAGATAAATACACCACGAAGGATTGGCAGTGATGGCGAATCTAATGTCTACATTGCTGCGGAGGACATTTGGTCCACTCTTCTTCAGAGTTGATTTAGTTCAGCCACATTAGAAGGTCAACTGGTTTTAAGTCCAGTCTTTGACTAGACCACAAGTCAGATTGGACTTGGGGGCAGTAAAATCAACCTATGTTGAGCTTTACATCATGTTATAATGTTGTTCCCTCATTAAAAACATACCTGTTGCTTTGATTCTTTCATGCATGTTTAAGAAATCCTTTAATGAAGTTCTTTTTTTTTTTATCAACTTCCTGTTGACAGACCTGCTTTAAGTGTTTTAAGTCTGAGAGGAACAAATACATTTTACTTTTTTATTGGGTCTGATTAATTTAGAAAGAATTTTTCCTCTCTTTATTAAATAAAAACCTGCACTTTTCAAATTCTCCAGAAACAGTTGCATGCAGGCAAATATTGTGGTTAAAAAACATAATTTTTCACCAGACTTATGTTTTTAAGAACAGAATGGTTTTAATCACTGAAACTTAATGATACAAACTTACGATTGGCACAATCTATCATGCAGATGTAATAAATGTAGAATAACTCTGCACCAGTTTAGTTATCTTCATGCTAGTTCTTTCTGAATAATTTAATCGGTTTTAGATTTTTTTACAGATCAGTTTATTTGCACGGGACGTCTCAGCAACAATACAGTTCAAAGTGCTTTACATCATAAAAACACAATGTCAACAATTGAGAAAATCAGAAAACATTTTGTCATCATTACACATGTTGGTCAAGGTGTCATTTCTTATGGTTCAAAAGAAACTCTAAACAGGTGAGTTTTAAGTCTGGATTTAAAGGAACTCAGAGTTTCGGCTGTTTTGTGGTTTTTCAGAAGTTTGTTTCAGATTTGTCGAAGCTGAACGCTGCCTCTCCATATTTGGTTGTGGTTCTACCTCATCTTCACCAAACTCTTGAAAAGGCTTTTAGTCACTATTCTTTCAGGGCCATTTCTGCTTTAAAAGTTTTTTATAAAACAAGTTGTATGTAACATTTTAATTTTCTGAGAATTTAGATTTTTGTTGTCACAATGCTCTAACTTATTGCAGTGCAACTTTATTTTTAGATCATTTGAACCCAGGGGTTCTTCTGCTTCATCCTTCTGTTTGAAAACTTGTCCAAACACGTCTTCAGCCGTCAAGCACCAGCACTTCACTCTTAGACACACAGAGGATGATTTAACGTAGACGCTCTCCAGACCAGACACATCCATCCGACCAGACGCATCCATTTATCTTAATCTTGCTGTTGATAGTGACTCCTTCTGGAAAAATAGCTCTGCAGAACCTTCAACAGCGACTCTCATGCTTTCTTAAAACGTTGCTCTTCTCCAGTATCTCACAAACTGATTCATATACTTGGACCATATTTCCATTTGCTCTGAACCTACATAGAAAAGGGTTGCAAGGTGAAGCCATAAACACTAATCTCCTGAGTGTTTGCTGTAAACACTGTCTGCAGGGAAATTAAGAGCGGTTCACCCGACGAATTGCAAATGGGTTCCTTCAAATTGAACATGGCTATGTTTTTTTTTTGAAAAGCCATTTTGTGTTATAAACATTCAATGACATGCTAAGTCTCATTAAAAAGCTACTTTTAGAGTGCATTAGAGGGAGCCATTGTGGTCCGTTTATGTTCTTTACACACATTTAGCAGATTGCGGAGCAGTGTGTGTTGAAGCAGTGAAGCAGCAGAGAACACACAGGTGAGCTTTTATCTCCCGTGGGACTCGTGCTTTCAGGACATCTCAAGACGTCTGGATGTTTTTTCAGACAAGATTCAAACAGTGATGGCAACTTGATCCCCGTTTCAACCCAAACAGAATCAGGATTAGGGTCAAATTATGATTCTGCACTTGCAGTCTCAGGTCTGGTGAGGTCACTCGATATACAAATAAAATTTATGCGGTTTGCTGAGCAGCTGTTGTGTTCATAAAAAGGAGCCGGGTTTTCTGCGTCAGCACTGTGTTTGTGAGCATGCAGACCTTCGAAGGTCCATCTGAAATAAAGTGTGGCTTTATTTCCCCAGGCTCTTTCTGCTCCGCTCCACACGCGCACACATAATCAATACTGATGCATGTGTCCATTCGCACTTGGAATAGGCTGTGTCCTTGAAATCCACATTGATGTGCGGCTTGAAACATCAAATGTGAGTTATGCATGGTTCTCTGCAGAAATTTTGGACCATCCCTCATCTATTTCGCCTTGGGTACTGGGAAGCTCAGCTTTCTGATTTTTAAAAAAAATTTTATTCATAAATTTTTCTACCATCATAAGATTAAATGTAAAAATTTAGGGAAGATGATTAGGGTCAATTAAAAAAAAAAAAACGGAACAAAGGATGCTAACTTAAATCATGAATTTAATCTCCTGAGGTTAAAGTCAGAATTCAGAGGGGGGAAAAAAGGTCAAAGTTTTGAGAGTAAAAAAAGTTTGAAAAGTTGAGAAAATGACAGAACTCTGAGATTAGCCAGAATTTTCAGAAAAAACGCCATTATTTTTGAGAAAAATCTCCAGAATTACAAAATTAGTCAGAATTTTGACAAAAAGTTGGAATTGAGATTAAGATTCAACTCAGAATCCTTAGATTATAGTCAGAATTTTGAGAATGAAGGCCAGAATTTTAACAATAGTCAGAATCCTGAGATCAAACTTTTGAGAAAAAAAAACACGGCGTAATCCTGAGAATAAAGGCCAGAATTTTTTTTTTTTTACTTTTTCAAAAGGACTGGACCCTGACTAGTGGTGCTGGTTTAGACCAACATTAAAGCAAGATGTAGAGGAACAAATTCAGGAAAATGTCTACTTTAGTCGACTAAATATTTCAGTCTGCTTAGCAGGCAACACAAGGACGCGTCTCAGTGACTTTTGTGTGAACTTTAGCCGCCTGTAACATCGGTTTAACCTGGAGCATGAACGGTCTGTTTGGCACTAGAGGAGAGGTGAAGGGTCAGGGTCGGGCAGAGCATCGACTGGCTCTTGCCAGCCAGAGGGAACTCATCAGGGGGCGGCCATAGAGCCAATGATGATTGGATTTCACTCATGTAACCAGCTGCACTGCAGAGAGACGACCTCTCATTGAAAAAAATAGTGTTGTGAATCTAAAAATCCCTTCTGGGTCGATTTGTGTCGGAAGTATGTATTTCAGTGAATTGAACATAAAGATCAGGTTATCCAAAACTGCTTTATATTAGACTTTATACCATATATTATCAGTGTTACGTCATGTTTCATTTTAAGGAATTTCCTCAGCTTTTATAATGCAGTTGTTTTTTTTTACACATTTTTGGTCTACAGAAGTCAGATATTTGTTTCCAAAATACACTAATCATCTAATTAAATTATGTAATCATGTTCTTTCTAATGCACGAATACTCATGAACAGTTTTAATTGTCCTACTCACTTGAATTTAATACAATTTTGATTAACTACAGTTTTTTACTTTTGTTTCCCTATTTTGAAATAAAAAGGTAATTTCTCCTTCTGTGTTTTAGCTTTTGGAGCTTAATATAACTAAGACGTATCAACATCAATAGAAATGTATGTCACAGTCTTAATAATTTTATCAGGAGTAAAGAGTATCAGTCCAAATATTGAACCCTGTGGAACGCCATACTAATATCTGCTGCATAGGATGATTTACCATCAACATAAACTGGATGAACTCAGATGAATATAAAGTGAACCAATATTTTGATTTGAGACCAGAAGCTAAAATGATTTGTGCAGAAAACATCAGCAAGTGTGAGTTATGATGCGGCTCTTAAAAAGAAACACATCACAGACGTTGTTATCCAACACTGTTTATTCAGAGGTTGTTATTTAAAACTTGACAGATTAGACTTGAAATACATTTGAATTGTTTGTTTTGACATTAATTATTACGAACTCTGGCACAGCACTGATGTTCAGAGACGGCTCGCTGGAAACACCCACAAGTGTGGACAATGTTTGGGAACATAAAGCACAACTTTGAACAAAAAGCAGGGAAACAAAACTACTCAAAACAAAACATGTAGAGATAAAAAGTGCAGCAAGTTTTACTTTGCTCTGATTGCTCAGTTTTACTGGCAGATTTGTTTAGTCTTAAGTGGAAAACACAGAAACAAAGTGATGGGGTTTTAATTTTTCTTTTCTTTTAGTCACTTTTGCTCACTGGAAGATGGTTTAGTGAAAGTGGAAACAGCATTTTGGGATTTTCTCTGTCATGAAAATAATAACTGAATTGACTGTAATCAACTTTCACCTTGGGAAAATTTCCAGTTAAAACAAAATTAAATGTCGGCTGTTATCAGTTCATTAAACCAACATTTTTATTAGCTTCAACTTGACTAGCATTCTTCACACATTTATTTAAATGGCATTTTTCTAATTAGATATAATTTAAATGTCAAATGTTAGAAAAATAAGTGCTGCAACAAAGAGTAACATAATAAATGCAATTAAGTTTAAAGAAAATTAGTTGTTTTAAGCTAAAATGGTGATTTAGTACTGACTGGAATGCGCTCAATAAAAAAGCATAAACTAACAAAAGATAAATTACCAAAAATATCTTTGTTTTAAAGCTAATAAGTTAAACTGGGTTTGTTGCCGTTTCAGCTCCTGCATGTTCGCAGACGCAGGAAGAAATTAAACTGGAGAAAATGCCAATTTTTTAACATTTGATTTAAACAAACTCAACAAATTTACTAGAAAAGAGCAAAACTAGTCAATGCTTTCTTTGTGAGAAACGAAAAAAATGAACATATTGGGCTTTAAATTATCCATGATGGAGCATAAAAGTTTGCAGAAGGTTAGTAAATTTTATAGCAAGGCTGTGGGGGTTTATTATCAGTGTATGGCTATTTGAGATGAGACTTGTTTTATAGGTTGGGATCGTCATGATAACGTTGCATAAAATGTGTTGAGGGAATAGTAGCATCATGGGATTAACACAAAGGATGTTTTTTCCAATTATTATACAATAGGCTTCATTATAATTTGTCATGAAAGCTGATGTATTTCAGAAGCAAAATTATACTTTTAATGGGGCAAATATTAACACAATATTCAGATTGTGAGACGGATGGCTTTATGATTGCTTATCCAACATCAGTTTTTAAAAATTAGCTTGGTGGCCTTAAGCTCAGCTTCAGAAATGACTAAAAACTTTGCTTTGTATTTAATCCTTGGTCTGAGATGTAATCTGTCTCATGCCTTCATCAAAAATAAAAAATAAAAATTTTGCTAAAGTTTTTGTAGAACATAAAAATAATTTCTCCATTAGTTATAAGAGATTAATTTACATTACCAATAGTCAGTCTTGAATGGGTAAATATAACATATTTAAGGGTATTCTGAATTAAGGTATTTTGGTATTTTTTTCTTGAATTATTTACAAGCCTATTCATGCAATGAATTTCCACAAGACAAAACATGATTCTTATAAAAACATTTAGTTTTAATTTATCCTTAAAACACTTCTGCAAAACTGCTGTGAGAAAGCAAATTCAAGATTTATATTGAAGTTTTGTTGCACAGGCACAACAATGGTTGTGTGGCGCCTCGTTTTGTTGAAGAATTGGTCAAACAGATATTTCCTGGTGAGTATTACATCATTGGAATGAAACGTTTTGGACAGTTTTAGGCACAGGAAATCACCAGGAGATTCTTGTGGACAATGTGCCAAGGCAGGAACCAAACATGCAACTTTGTTGAGTTTGAGTAAATGCATAAATGCTGTTTTATTAGCTTCAACTTGACTAGCATTCTTCAGACATTTATTTAAATGGTTAGTAAATGGGTTGAAATGACTTGTCGTGCACTTCTATACAAATCGATCAGTGGTGATATGACCATAATGTGGCCATGATATTGTTCTTTTTTGGAAGCAAATCTCATCCCTGATTATGGATGCAGTATGCTACAACAGCCAAATAAATCTCATATTTGAACTTTATTATCAAGTATATTTTTGAAAAAAGGATTTTAACCAATCAATAAGAGACAAACAACCATGTGGCTTCCAGTGGAAAGCCAATTGGCCATCCCTGATCTCAAAGTTTGTCCTGAACTGTGATAAAGTAGAACCTCTGAATGTGGCTTCGTTGAGGCAAACGCTGATTGAATGCTTCGGAGAAGTAAGTATACGTAAAAACAAGGTGGTCGTAACTTTTTCAAGGTTAGTTCAAGAAAACGTTTCAAGAAGCCAGAAGCGTCCTGTCGAATGTGTTTAACGGCATCCTAATATTGAAACTCTGGGATAAGATTAGGTTCTAATGCTAAAAATTTGCAGTATTGCTGATCTTTGTTTCAAGTAAATGCACATGTAGCCTAGATGATTTACACCCAGATTAAGTGTAAAGAATGTTCCAGAAAATACTGTGAATCCTCATGTATAAGTCAAAGGGGCATTTTGTTTCCAGGTTGTTTTTTCTGAGAATAAAATAATTTGAGACACACTTTAACGACCATCGCATGCAAGAATGAGAAGATGTAGTAACAACTTTAGCTTATGATTAAATCACCAATTGAGGTTTAAATTAGAGGGTTTAAGGGTATAAACAAGTTTCACTGCAGTCTACTGCATGTAAGATACTGATCACTAATTAGTACTTCACACGATCCTTATTTAAAAAATAAAAACAACAAAAAAGACCTTTAAAGACACCATCATTTTGGACTGTTCTGTTTCCAGAAATATAAATGGCTATGAAACAATATTCACTTAGTATTGTTAACCATAATTTAAAAAAGATTCCTATCCCAGTAAAAGGCCATTCTAACACTGTTAGTAGGTTTGTTAAATAAAATTGTGTTCGCTTAAAGTGTATGGCTACTATCATAGATACAGAAAGTAATGTGCAGAATGTTTTCAGTTAATAATCTGTATAATTAAACATTAAGTTAATATGGTCGTTCCCTTCAAAGTGTGTCGTCTATTTATCCAACAAACAGTTTTTATGTAAAATGTTCTCAAAATATAAATACGTCTAAACCGTGGCTTTCTGCAGATTACTACCAGCAACAACTGATTTGTCGTCTTTTCATCTTTCTAAGTAAGTTGAACTGGTTTAGTTTTGGGTTTAAAATAAACCAACATAAAGTGAACTTTGGTAAAAACTTGCCCTGAAATAGAAGCACATCTAAACAAAGAATGAACAAAACATGTCAACATCCTTTCATGCAGCTGCTGGTTCAGAGTAGAGAAACTGGACAACAACATGGATACATTCTCTCTCTGTCTTACGTCCTTCTGCCTCCTCATGTTGGAAGTTTTGTCCACGCACAAAATAAAACTTTTTCTCCACACTTGTGTTCGTATAACTTTTATAAAATAAATCTCATATTTCCAAGTATACAATAATAAAATGATGCACTCTGCAGAAAAAAAGCTCACAGGAAACTCTATATGTACACATAGTTTACTACTGTTTTGGCAGACGAGAACATGAATAAGTCCAGAATTGTAAACAGCTCTTTACTCTCATTCTGAACATTTTTGTTCCCACTCTTCAGTCCCAGTTACATTCACAGCTCAGGAAAATTGTGCTTTAAAAAAAAAATCCTTGGAACAATCCAAGGCCTTCTTTGTGTCCTCTGGTCCGCTAAGTAGAAGTGCTTGTGTTTAAAGTCTGGAACAGTCTGAGGGCCGCTGGTTCTCTCCTGACTCATCCAGGAGAGGAAACAGGAAAATCAGTAAGCAGATAGTTTCACTTAGATGTCTAGGAAAGTTGAAGGGTTGCAAAACCTTTTCCTGTGTTTTCTAAATCTCTTGTTTGAAACAAATACATGATCCATATGATTTTATTGGTCTAAGAAGTTTTAACTGTGCTTTAGGTTGAGGAATGTCCATGATGGAGGGTGAAGAGTGACAGCACCTGGGTTTGAAGATGCAGAAAGAAGAGCGACAGGAAGCCTTCAGTTTTCCTCATCCGTCAGCTCCTCCTCCCCCGTGGCTTTTTCAGGAATGGCCTCCAAGCTGCGTCGGCTCTTGGAGTCTGTGGAGCCGGTGGAGCCACCCGCTGTTCCTCCTTTGCTCAGGTTGCAGGTAAGCGCTGAGTAGTGGATCTGCTTGAGGTTTTCCTGGACTTCACTTCTGGCATGTTTTAGTAAGTCGGCTTGACCCTGAGGGCACAGATCAGATTACATCAGGGGAAAAAAATACACATATGAAAAGTAATCTGAGAATCTAATAGAAAACTAAAACCAAATGTGAAATTTTTATTTTACAAGGCAAGTTGATTGAGAACAAATTCTCAATTTCTCAAAATTTGTACAGCATATATTACAGTTCCAACAGTTTTTCTAGATTCAGTTTTCTGTAAAAATGGTCAGACATTGAGTTTAATTGACTGCTAACTCCAGGACCTGCAGGTGGCAGTATTTCTTTCTTCTACTGCACTCCTGCCTCAGCCTTACTTGATGTCAAGTTGTAGTCCATGATGGATGTGGAACTCGTCCATCCAGATGCAACCATGTGTTTAATGAAATGTTGTGAATATTCTTAGCTTTCTCCACCATCTTCCCTCTTGACTCAGAAACTGACTTTTATAATGGCTACATTGTCCAACAAGCTTAATGCATCTAAACCATTTTGGCATTCTTAATCAGAAAACTTAACACAGCATGAAGGTGCCAAACCCACACAGCTGGCCAAATAGACAAATAGTAGCAAACAGAATTTTCTTGGTGGACCTTTTTTGTCATTATTGGTTCTGATTTGCCAAGTCAGATTTTACCGTTTGTTCATCACAACTAGAACACGAGACGTGTGTGTTGAACTCATCTAATTTCTGCATTGTGGTAATTGTGGTAATTCTGATTTACCAGTAATGTCATATAATTAGCTTTCATATCTGCTACTGATGTAATCTCTGACCGCTTTAAGCACCTTCATGTGCTTACAGGTTTATGTAGCTCGATATTCCCTGAATGTTGCACTTATTCTCACCTTCAGTATGGTGATGTTCCATGTGAAGCTTTCCACTGCCTTGTGCAGCTTCCTGCCCTTCAGCCCTTCCTTCACAGCCAGATCATGCAGGTTTTCATGAAATTCCATCGCTGGAAGAAAAGAACAATAAAACTTCATCCGGTCAGTGTTTATGGTTTAAGAGACGTTGCTACGTGGTGCCTAACCTAAAATTTTCCTTTGTGAGAATCACTGCGATCAGAGAGGTAGATTTTGGGCCTGTGGGATTTGTTCTGCATCCAAATATCTGAAATACTACCAAACTGGTGATGAGATATTTTCTGTTTTATCCAGTTTCCATTTCATGCAGTTTTTATTTTTATTTTATTTTTAAGAAGTTTTAAGGCACTTTGGAAAAACATGAAAGTGCTGCTGCGCAAGTTACTCAACAAGTTGTTGCTAGGCAACCACAGAGTGAGTGAGTTAGTTGATTGCACCAACCTCGACTGTGAGAGGCTGAGAAACTAAGGTTTTTCTTCTGCCTACATATCCCAGAATGCTGTGTGATTCTGGATCAAAGTGCACTGAATATTCTACACATTGAATATTAAATATTCGATCAGATGTATTATCTATTGACATTGATCATGTCTACCATGATAAATATTATTGATTTATTATCCACCTAATCCAAAGTGATTATAGATAACAGAAGTCTTCTGTATGATGGTAAAATCACAGATTCGTTTTATTTTCTATCAAATCTTTCAATATTTTTCAATCATTACTATCAGAAAGTTAAATGTCACCAATGTGTGACCGGCAAAGTGGACATTGTGAGAGCTTTATGACATTATGAGAGTGTCCTCACAGGTCCCCCAGTGAGGACATGTTTCATTTCATGCTGAGGCTGCAGGAGCTGGAACCCCCAAACCCGACAGGGGAGAGATGCAGCACAAATCACAGGACGGTGACGTGCTTCTGCTCGGAAACCCCTTCGGAGAAAACAGACGTTTCCGCTCAGAGCAGGTCGCAGCCCCTGTCTGCGCTGTTGCCATGGAAACGAGCATGTCCACGTGCGAGCGAGAGTTGGGAGGAGAGAGAAACCCCTTCCTGAGGAATCACCGCGCCGATGCACATTTTTGAGATTCTGACCTCGGACGACTTTTTTTTTTTTCTGCCATCGTGGACAAATCCACCATCTGCTTCTCAAATTACGCGTGTATGCAAAAGAAGAAGAAGAAGAAAAAAAGCTTCCTGCTGAGAATATGCAAAAATTCTCTCTTTCAGTTTCAGGTTTTACAACTCTAGATGCAGGAGCTGCTGCGGCGCACATGAGCTGCAACTGTCATGAGGAAGGTGCAGAGCTTCCTCTGTTTCTCTTTCACACAGAGAGACGCGCACAGCAGGGGCTGCCTAGCAACACCGTATGGAGTCTGGTGGAGGGGAAGAGGGGAAGCTCGCTCTTAGCAAAGCAGTCGGGGAGAATAGCTCCAGAATAATGTCACATCATCGAAGCGTGACCTACATCTTTTTGCAGATTAATTACAAATTTATCCACAGATTGCAGAACTCGCACCAAATGACGCAGCTAATTTCATTGGACATGTGTGAAGAGGAAGAGCGAGCAGAGATGACTGAAGATGACTCCTGGTGATGCTCGACCCGCGGCACCCGCCACTCTGCAATAAGGAACTGTCAAATTGTTTCCCATATAGACAAAATAAATAGTAACTAAAGATGATTTTTACATTAGAATTCCAACATAGAAAACTGATTGATTAAAACTCAAACGTTTTATTTTGAAATCATGAAGTATTGAATCAAATTAAGGAAATCTCTTTATTTCAATAAAGAATACTCCAACATCATCTGGAAATTAAATGTTATTGACAAAGTATTTCAAAATATGCATAAAAAACATAATTTATAAGTAGCAATAATAAGAAAATAAATAACTCCCCAAATAAACGTAAGTAAAGGGGCCAACAAAACAGCTTATGTTTCAGGGCAGTGACTGGAAAAAATTTAATCGACATTTATTTTAAAGGGTTTTGTAATGTATTTTCCAGGCACTGTCATTTCATAGCACAATCAAGTAACTTCTTCCTTTTAGTTATAAAAATAGTCAGTTTCTGTCTGCTAGAAATACTATAGGCTCTTTTGTTTTCTTTTGTTGCGGTCAAGCAGCAAATCTTCACATGTTTTTGATCTGCATCTGTGTTTTCAAAGTGTTCCCACACAAATGACCTGGTTTGACCTCTTTTGCATAAGAAATTCTGATGCTATTCCTGCAGTTATGGTTGTTTTGGACTTTTTTCGTGGCATGAAACAATGCTGTGTGCAGCCAGATGTTTTTCCACCGAAAAGGTCTCAATCCATGCAGCCTGGGGGATGAGTTCCAGCTCCTCTTTCTGCTAAAATGTACATGGTTTGATTTTTTAAAATGCAAGCAGATAATGCAAGAAGGTCAGGCTTAGAAATGGGCAGGAGACTTTACAAAATAAAAGCAGAACATGCCCCAATAATATTTAGACATTTTCTGCAATGTTATTGTGATCATTTGAGGCCATCATGAAAAAGATTTGACAACCCCACTTTTACACACAAAAAGTCCAGAACTAAACAGATTAAGTTACGACTGTAAGAGGAATCACACGGAGATGTAAAATCTCAGCTGTGAGGAGCTCTAAAAATTTTCAAGAGAACAAAAAAAACAAAAAACTTTTGGACTTTCAAAGGACAATCTGTTGTACAACAGGGAGTATCAGGTTATTTTCCATTTCAACAGATAAGGAACAGTTTTGCCACATTAAAAAGAAACTTGTTTCACCAGCAGCTACAGAAAAAAGCAAAACTAACCCAATTTTTCTGTCAGTTTTTTGGACAAGACTGACAGAAAAATTGAGCCAAGGAGGAACTCCCAGGAAATCAATTTGGAAACTCCTGAGATCAGGATGATAATTTTTCACAGGAGTGTTTTCTTGCTGCATTTAGCCTCCAGTCCAGAACCCACAGATATTTTGCTCCTGGATGTATGTTATATTATTTGACAGGTGAAGTCTGGAACAGCTCAGATCCATACAGATGTTTAGATTCCTGCTTACATCTGACATATTCCAGATTCTCTATGTTTGAGATTTTAGATAGATGCCCTAAATTATAAATCTAGTAAAATTGGTTGACTTATTTTTAATTCTCTATTTATTTTAATATACGATACAATTTAAAGGCGCACTTGGCTGAGAATGTTGGGTCTCTCTCGTGGAAGAATACGAGGGATGGGGTGAGATAAGACTTACACTCTACGCTGCACCACAGTTTCCTTCCCATAGGGAAGCCTCCGGATAACGTGCAAACTAGTAAAGAGTTTTTTTGTGGTGCTAGATTGTTTTTCCACCATTAGCACAGCAAACCAGAAATCTCAATGTGAGCAGCGCATGCATGAGCATGATTGACAATGCTAAGATCCTCCTCTTGGCTCTAATTGGTCATTTCAGCCCAGAGTCGCTGAATTTCTGCAGATGGCAGTAAGACTGCAGGGAACAGACTAAGTTTGCAGATTTGTCTGAAATTTTACTACTTGAACATAATTTCAGTTTTGAGAAAGAAATTTGCTGCAGTCTTCTTTTGAATCACATTTTCATAAAGTCAGCACTGAATAATTGTCAAATAGCAACCGTCATAGCTTGATTTAGCCATTATTTTTGTTTCCTCTCACTAATTACATTTACACAAGTTTGTTTAACCCCAGCGTCTTCATGATAAGCGATTATTTTAAAATGTCTTTGCAAACAATATCAGGTATTTTCCCTTTTCAACTAGAAGTAACGGGTAACAGGAAGTGTAGTGGTGGTAAAGGACTTTTGAGTTATTTTTAGTATTAAACTGGGGCATTCCTCTCAGCCTTGGCGGTCCTAATTTACCTAAATGCAGCATAATGGAAAGGCACATAACAAAAAGTTACAATACTGCTAAAAATGTCCAAAAATGACATTCTAGTAATAAAACTTTTCTGACAACGCAATAGATTTCATCAAAAATCATGCAAATTACTTTACCCAATTGTTTGGTCCCATGTTTGTCCTTTCTTATAATGCAGCTCAAAGTTGCTTAATTAAAGATAAGACTCCCAGACTTGAAAGAAAACTTCCACAAATTTATTTCAGCAAATTTGGACTTATAACATCTTTTTGACGCACAGTAATCAGGTCCATCATGATGACCAGTAACAGGTGAAATGAAAAACACAGTTCATGCTCTTGTTGGAGATAATGCAATGCTCGACGATTGGGTCAGAATATTTCCAATATTTCATCTCTGCTGGGATCGTCCCATTCTGCTCCCACAAACATGCTATGTCTCAAATTGTAAAGTCAATTATTTGGCGGTTTCGTAAACTTTCAGTTGAATAAAGTTCAACGTCTGTTTTGTTACCAACTGTTAATAATTAAGGTAGTTTATATTCATACTCTTATTTTGAAGCAGTTCTGTTTCATCTGTTTTTTTGGTCATTTTATTTAAAAAAAATATATACATGAACAAAATAAAACAGAGCTAAACTTATTTGCTATGAACTACAGATTATTCATTAATTAACCACAAAAAGACAGAATAATTCAAATTCAGTGTATAATAATAACTGGGATGGCAACATTTCTGATTGCCATCTGTTTATGTGCAGCACAGGATGTAGATAAAACTCAGGCATGTTTTCACCACCATTTCTAACTTTGAACATTTCCTCCTTCAAGCTGAAATGTCAGCCGAGGAGGTGAGGAGATGACAGGAACAAAAAGAAGAGTTTAGGTAACATGAGTTTAACAAAAGGACAGATCTTTGTCTGTGAAATATATCATGTGGCAGCTCTGTCCAGTGTTGGCTGCTGCTGCCGGAAAAGGCACTGACATTGTTTGTGACAGCGTTTATTTATTTTCTAACTCAGGTTTCTTCAGTGTGAGACGGTGCAGCATGTTGTCTTTCTTTTTCAACATCAGAGGCAGAATGCAGGAAAAAACAGTGCTTCCTGCAGCAAATCCGCCTCCTTCCTTCAGGTTTATTTTAGGAACTGACACGCCACTAAAGGTGCTCCTGCTAATATGAAATATTAAACTTCCAGATTCTCCAGACTTGACTGGAGAATACTCTCTTTAGAAAATGTTCAGGAGAATTATCGCTGGTTAAAAAACAATTACAGACTGAAATTCAGTAGGCCTGTCATAATAACAGTCTTGGCTGGATGATAAATCATCCCAGCAATTATTGTGATAAAAGATGTTTTAAGATCATTTTCAAGTAATGTAATGATAATGGCAAAATAATCCAAGTACACATTCTCAAAGAACAGTAAGCTTTAAATTGAAAGGAAATGGTAGATAGTTTAAACATCCCAAAAATATGTTACAGAAATAAGTAAAATTAATTATGAAGTTTCTGTAAATAAATGAAGGGCTAGATCAGTCCAATATACCAGGCTGAAAACTTTTGTCATTCAGTTTTTGGTAGCAAATTACGCAAATGGGAATTTTTGAGCTGCAATTAATTGATTTGCTGGTTATTGCGTCAGGCCTAATTGCGATAAATAATATTGTTTTGGTCTAATTTCCAAGTAATATATTGACAATGGCCAAAAAATGCAGGTTTGTTCTCTAAGACTAATAAACTGTCCATTAATATCTAAAATAAAACAAAACCAAAAACGAATAAAATGGAAATGAAACCACAACTGAAACCATAAATAAAATAAAGTATGAAGTCTCTGTAAATTTTCTTTCAAAAATATTAATCAGAATGAAAAATATCAAACTTGTTTTCATTTATTACGTGAGGAATTGATTAATTGCTGATTGACAAATTTAGGATTCAGATTTCAGACAGAGAAAGCAAATACATTTGTATTAATACATTAATATTAAGAAACATCTTGTGCTGATTGTGTTGTTCTGCCATCCAAATGTCCTGAACGCTAAGTGGGACCTTAGTGAGAGTCTGTTAGGGGAAGTGACGTCTCCAATAAGTGCTCCCAACACCTGACTCTGCACAATCTGACACCGCCTTTAAGCGGGAGGCGTCCCTGACTTGATGTGATGGATTATTCACAACTTCAGTAGTAGTTGATGCTGAAACAGTCTGCTTTGTTTACAGGGAATCAGGTTCGTACTGACCCAGTTTCTGTAAAACCACACCGCATGCACACGCAGAGGTAGAAGCAGCAGCTTGAGCACGTCCTCCTGCACTGGTGCATGCACCCAAACACATTGCTTTTTGCAGGGAGAAAAACCCGAGAATAAATCATTGTTCAACTTTATGGCTTTGCCATTTGTTGTGTCCTACTATGGAATTGTTTGCTGCTGAATTTTCTCCAGCTGATGTCGGCTAATCATGTCGAAGGCTCTTTGAAACCGAAAGCCCCCACAAAGCTTTAGCGCAAGCTTTCGACAAGTTGTTTGGTCTGTTTGGGGTTTTACTGCCAGCTTATCAAGATGCAAGTTGTTTAAATAGAAATGTTTCTTTAAGGGGTTTATCGGTCAGTTCATCTTACAGATCTAGATTAAAGGTTACCAACTCCAAACTTGAAGAGTTGATATTCTGGCTTTAATTAGAGCTGAAAATGATCCCAAAAACCCAAATATGTAAAAGCAGAAAAGCATTTAATGAATACAGGACAGACATTTCACCCAGGAGTTATTTACATGAAACCTCAGCAGACAAAGCTGAACATTTACATGGGAACTAAAAACCACAAACTCTGCTTGAGTTCATTCTGATGTTTCGATTTACTTAAATTTAAGATTGTGGTGCTGGTGTAGAGCTGTGACAAAAATAGCTGTGTTTAAACCAGAGTCATCAACACCACCTCATCATCAACACTATGGTGAGATAATGCTCTCTAGTTGTAAACGATTATTTTAGGAACCAAAGAAAGAATTGTGTTCTATTTTAGCTAAGCTAAAATTAATATATGGAAGAGAAAATTCTAGTAAAGAGCAATTTAGTTAATTTTTTCAGTGAAACATTTTATTGCTTATGATGCAGTTTGATTCAGACATCCCTTTGTCTGAAGTATGAAAACAGATTTTTATTTTTTTCCACATCATAACTCATCTGTAATGTTAGACTAAATGTATTTCCTTATACATGTTGCATACCAGATTCTGTAATAACAATCAGATGAAAGTTAGTTTTGTGCAAAGGGAACAAAAGCATCATAAACAAGCTCAATGAATGGAGTGGATGTTTCCTGTTGAGATGTTCAAGGATGGAGCATTGAGGACGAGCTATTGTGAAACTCTGATTCTGTTTAGTTTTTTATTCTGTTTGCTTTAAAGTGGTCCCACACTTTGTCTCTTTCTGCTAATGACAGCAGAACGAGACATAGTTGCTAATAGCACTGAGTATTTTTAAACATCTCATTTGTAGAAGAGAGAGTGTTGCACAACACAAACATGGAGGTGGAATGCAGTGTGCTAAATAGTAGAACATAATTTAAAGTTTTTAGATAGATATTATGTCTCGAGGAATTTTGAAAATGATTGTTTTTGAGTCATTCAATGAATCGTTACAGTCCCATTCTCTAATATCTGTAACTACAGATCAAGAGGGTTGAGCCAATCATTCACAAATCGACACATGAACTGAGAAATAGTTTGAACATTTACGCCTCAGATGGAGAAAATTTCATATGTCATCTTCAGATCTGTGAGCGAATGTAGAGCTGACAGATATGGGTGATAAAATATAAGTTTACTTTAAGTGCCTCGGTCACATGCTGGAACAAAGATAAGCAGATAAGAAGTTTCCACTTGATTACTTGTCTGCTGTAGAAACAGTGCTCTGCACTGTATATATATATGTAGTTTAAATGTCAAATTATTTCTGTCTTAATAGTGCTACATTTGATGGAAGTATTCAGTTGTTTATACAGCACCGGCAAAGTTGTGTTTGTGGGTAACAGCAGGGTTGAGTAAATCGGTTGCCTCTCACCACAGATTTTATTTTTGGTAAGCATCTTAAATACCCGACGTCACGCTACCATCTCTACATTTCAGTAATGCAACTGTGGCTTTATAGGCCCCATTGGGTTTTCAACAGCCTTCACTGTGTGGTATAACCATGTGACATCATGTAATTGATAGCTAGCTATGGATTATATCATTATACCGCCAACACTGCTGTTAGCTTAGATTTTTGCAAAGGAAACAACAAAATCAAGATCTCCAACGGTTATATTTACATAATAATGGTTCTGAAATTGAACTATGATTTGATGTAGGTACTTTTACACTCCATATGTACAGAATTTTATACAATACATAAGTAAATCTGATTCCTTTGCACTGATACATGCTGTTACTGTCTAGTTGCAAAAATAAAATGTTTAAGCTTCATAGAGAGAATAATAATCGCAGCGGGATGTAGGTTTAAAAATTCCCATCAAACTTACTCCCTGATAGCTTTTGATGACACAAAAGGAAAAGAATATTTCAAAAGAAGATCTGTAGTTATCTCAGTGCAGAGACAAAAGAAACAAAGGAAGCTGAGGCATGGTATTGATGCTCTGTCATATCTTTTCAATCTAATGACTTATACAAGGTATATTTTCCAGGAACATTGTGCCATTTTATAGCATAATTGTATATCAAACATAAAAGAAATGTAATTTTGCAGTTTGACTCCTTGATGGGCCTCTGTCTCTTTAAGAAGCTCCTCCTCTTTCCAACACTTATCACAATACACGCTAATTGCTGCTGACCCTAGTTTGGAGGAGCTGAGTGAGAGAGACATTGGGAACTGCAGATCCAAGGAGGAACTTTGTGGAAATAGGCAGCACCTTACAAGGCCATTCTCAATAAGGCATGAAAGAATCAAGGAAACACTCCATATATGTTTTGACGAGGGAATAACTTCATAACATGATGCAAATCTGTCAATTTTACATAACCCCCTGTAATCTTCTATGCTATTTGGATTTCACTGTGAAGAGAGTCACATAGGTATCAATAATTGTATATATGTGCCCCCCCAAAAAAACAAATTAATCAACTATTCAATAAAATTGTAATAATTAACAGCTGGCAGAATTGTCCATCCAGCATGTTTCCTCAAGTCTTTGAACTGAATAAACCTTGTCCCTGGCCTCACTAAATCAATATAGAGAGAGGTTGAGAGATAAAAACTTCACCTACATGCTTTATTACCAGGTTATACTTCTCCACCAGGGGAAGTAATCCCCTGGTGGAGGTCGGCACAAACAAATAACAAGGTCAGCCTCAAATATAGCCCAAAGGAAGTAAAATGAAAATTATGGTCACAACATGCATGTCAGAGACTCTGTGTGGTGCGTTCATTAGCAGCTACGACGTAAACATTTGACTTATTTTACTACGTCGCTCATTTCTGCAAAAATGCGCATTTACAAAGTCTTTAAGGTGTAAAGTGTGCAAACCTCTTGCACTTGGGAACATAAGACAGGAAATGACCAGAAGAGTTGTTCACATTTAAACAAATGTTTGTCACAGTCAGGAAGCAGAAAGTTCTCATGTCTGCCATCTGTAGTGTCAAGCTAGCAGTTTGTCTGTTTGCTGTTTTTTTCCAGTTTGTAAGCACAGTGTGTGAATCGGAGCTGAGCCAAATTTGATAAAACTTGTTTGAGGTTACAACGTTTCTCTGGTTGGCTTGAGTAAACATGAACAAAGGCTTGAGTTGCTTCCAAGTACTGAATGTGTTTTTTTAAGGTGGAGTAATCTAGTTTTAGCCAGAATCTGGATTGATTTACAAAAAATTTAGTAAAGATTTTATTTTTATTTTTTTTACCTGCTTTCTGAGTTTGCAAAATCCTCTCATAAACGCTGTCAGAGCTCTCCAGCAGGGTCTTGCTGGTCTGGATCATCTGAAAAGAAAAATAATCAAGCAATTTTAATAACTGCTTTTAAGACGGGTGATTACTAAAAGTCACGCAGTAAATTGTGTTGCCTGGTGTTTTTCCATTTAAAGAGGGCCGAGAAAATAAGATGTTATTGCAGGGAAGTCTTTTGGGCGAGGTCGCTTAACTGTGTCTTTTGCAAACCAAAATTAAAGGAAAGCACAGCAGAAGTAATTAGATTTTTTTTATTTTTTTTATTTGAGGTTGTGTTGATTTCCGTCAAGTTGTGACTATGCCTCATTTTACGGAGAAAAATACAAATGGCAACCCCTCTGCTTGGCTTTAAACGGAAACATTGATCATCACGGTCAACTGATGAAAATGCAAACATGTCACTTTGCTTCACATCATTAGCATGCTATCTGTGACAGAGCAGCTGTGAAGGAGGCTAAGTTTAGCTCCTCTGGTGCAACGCTCTGCCCTAATTGAGTGCACAGACTCTGCTGACCTGCAGACTGTCACAACTTTCATGATGATCTATATGCATATTAAAGAATTTCTTCTGAACAAGAATGCAGGCAGCAAAATATTCTGCTGAAAGGCAGCAGAAAACTGTTTCAGGAAGAGGTTAGAGAAGGAAGTGCAAAGCAGGTAACATAGGGAGAAAAATACAGAGCCTGAGGTGTCTTTTTTATTAATCATCAGAAAGAACAGCTAAGATATGATAGTAATCTTCCCACATGGTACCCAAGGTGACATTTTTAATAAAATGTTACTTAATTTCCAATGTAAGTCCGATACAGGGGCACTTGTGTTCGTGTCACTATAGTAACTGCCTTGCACATGTACTTGTGCACTCCTGAAGATCCCACCAAGGTCATGTCAAAACGCAATGCTGCTCAGATAGAAAGCTGAAGAAAATCCATAAAATTTGCCAACTAATCTGAATGAAATATGTACATTTTCTCTTTCTTGGATCTAACTGCTGATTGGCTGGTCAAATACTGAAATATCAAATTCTAATTAAATACATTGAACACTAAACACATTTTCTGCCTATGTTAATTTATCAACAATGGTTGTTATTCCCCCATGGAAAAAAAAAATGGTAACAAAGACATTACTTTAAAACCTATAAACCATTTTTAATACTTTATTGTGTCCTGTCACTTTTTCTGTACTTTTGCTCTTTGTGCAACTTACAGGAATAAAAGGGTAACATGAAAAGTATTTTTATGAATATGTATGTTTGTAATCAACATTACCAGATGCAATTTTTTGTCGGCTTGTGCTCAGAGGAGGATGGAGCTGGAATGAGGCTAGCAGCTTGTTGCTTATTTTTAAACAGATATTGTTAGCTTAGCTTCTGCTGTCCAGCATGTTGTAGATGACCATTGACATTACTGTTACTGATCTTATTGAATCCCTTGCAAGTATAATAGCGTGCATCTTTAAGATGTTTCACTACTCATCCTTTGGCAATTTCTCCAAAATGTTGAGGCTTTACTGAAAAAGTTTGGACCATAGCAACTGAATTGATTTTAATGAAATTTCTGATTGGTATCGGGGTACAAAATTCTGACGAGGACATCCATCATAGAGCTAATACTATATTTCCAAATGCTCGCAAACCCAGGGATGTAAATGACAAAATACGTAATATTTACTTTTGATTTTGTAAAATAAAGTCCAGACGTCAGCTTACCCAATATCTCTAGTTTCAGACTTAGAAAAATACCATTTTCCAAGGAACTCCCCTGCCACTATTCCTCTGCATTTAATTCAGGAAGTGGTTCTGCTGCACAAACATGTGACTTCATACAACTATTTGTGCCGTGTAAGTGATACGGTGCTGCAGCACACATTTTTATACTCTTTAGGGACGACCAAAAGAGTCATGCCAAAGTTGCATAATTAACTAATCTATATTCATGCAAAGATAATAGCAAAATATATACTTCTTAGGAAATTTGTCCATATTTTAATAAGAATCCTAATCATAGTGTTGCAGTTGAGCAAAATTACTCAAAATAGTCTTGTTTCCAAAGAATACATAAAACACAAAGACATAAATAAAAGTGTATTTCCTCTTTTTGTTCTTGTGACAATTTATTCTAACCTGAGAAATAGCTTTATTTTTTATTTTGTTCTTTGTGAAGAAAAGAATGGCATGCATTAAACTATGTATTATGATTGTACACTGTTAAAAAAAATATTGGCAGATGTTGCCAAAACTTTACTGTATTAATATGGATTTATACACTGTTATTGTAAGGATATATCAAAACATACTCAGTGGAAAAGTAAAACTTTTGGACTTTTGGATATTCAAGGCAGCCAATTAATTATCTAGAAATATACATTTGAGAGTTTAAAAAAATCTTTACTCGGTACTTCTCATCTCTTGCAAACTTAAATATACATTTTCCAATAGTTTTCTGTCTTTCTTTAGATCTGTTTACAAAATGGAAACTATACACTAAATTACCAGCAGCTGTATCCTCTGGTGACTTGTTAAAGAGAAACAGTCTGTCATTAACTAAAGCTGTGGCTTTTGTTGGTCTCTAATTAGTTACTCTCTCTGACACATTTAAAAAGGTTATAATAGGCTTTTTGAATTTTTTTCTTTTTCTGTTTCTCTAATGACCTATTGTGCACGTAAAAGGTGTGGAAAGTTTCAAAGTCCACACCCCAGGGGTTATTCTATTATACAGACAACGAAACTGCTGCAAGTTCCTATTTTGGACTCTAAATGTTTTCTTCTGAATCTAAAAAACAAAAGTTAATAACGCTGGTTTTCACCATCACTGCACCAATTAGAGCCACATGATTATCCTACTAAAAGTTAAGAAATTTAAACCTGGCATTAAAGATAATCAGCAGACACAAAGAAAACATTTTCTGAAAACAAACAAACTCATCATGCTCTTTTTTAAATATATATTACAGCGTATTTCCACAGAACTAGGCCTGCTGTTGGGTGTTTTGCGTGGGGCAGACAGTTGCTCAAGCCCAGTAACATGAATCACCATGTTATTCTCTGAGCTGTAATGACAAAGTGCTTGTATATCTGCAGCTGCAGCACTTAGAAGCTGTGATTACCTTCCTGATGGGTCAAGAAATTACCGTCTTCACGGCACACACAGTGTCTCAAATATATATTGAAGAGGCATGTTTTTGAGTTAAGTGTGGATAAGGTTATATTTGGACACAAAGAAACGCCTCCTAACTACTGTGGTCATGTTTGTTAAGGTAATTACTTACATGTTAGCTTGGTGATCTTATTCTTTATGTGAAGAGAACATGTTACAAACAGTCTGGATCTTACAAATTCAAACAATTAAAAAATAGTGGCTTGGAGTAGAAAAATTGAAGGAAATTTAGTATTTGGTCTTTCTTTTTTTCCCGTCTGCTCAAACTAGAACGTTAGCTTTAACATAATTTCCTTGTTAGGCAAACCTCTAGATTTCAATTTAAATGCCTGAGTCATTGATTGTAAATCAGTATCTCTATTGCTAAAAATAGTTGCTGACAAAATAGAAACTCCTTTCACTTATTTTAACTTATTTTAATATTTTTTATTCCACCAGGATTTAATCTGAGTTTGATTTTTCACAGCTACATTAACAAAATATGAGAAAAATAATCAGGAATTGTAGAAACTGCTGCTATATTGAGATTTTCAGGCATAACAATCTCTCAAGTTCAAGGAACTGGAATAAAAATAGTGTGTTGGATGAAATGTCTTGTTGGTGTGAAAGCGTTTACTCTTTTTGCAGCATCAGTGTCTGAGGTGGATTTCAGTGCAGACACAATTTCCCAACACTAATTAATGCAGAATATCCTCATTAGTCATGTCTCAAAAATGCCAGTCTAATGTTTTTTTTAAATTTTCATATTAAACTCATCTTACAACACCTCTGAGGATATATAAACTCTGATCTGCACTGGTAAAATGCCAATACAAGCAAGAATTAAACACGTAGGTCAGGTAACAAAAACCTGAATGTCTTTAGCAGCCAGTAAACCTGGAGCATACGTTTTCCAGAGGATTATTATCTGCAAACAAGTTCTGCTGTTGTTAGCCATACGTTCTTTGACGCCAATAATGAAATAATATTCACGGTCACTGCCATGACTCTTGCTTTGCAGGAAACACAAGGCAATATCTTTGTTAGTCGGTCCAGATGGCGCTACCGTTTCTCAGCTCTGAAAGTATCTGGCTTCCATCACCATGTTTTATCAATGTGTAAAGCAGAAGAGTAAGGTCTGCTGTTGAGGCAAGCTGTGAAATACTGAAAAGCATAAACATAAATCAAATGATTTAGAACCATGAGCTGGCGTCCCACCGAGTGTAAACACCTTTTTTTTTAAAGGAAAATAGGATTCAAGTGAGAATCAGATTCTGTAGCAGTCAGGTTGTGAAAGCTCTCCTAGTTTCTATGGTACAGTGAAACAGAAAACATAAAACTAGAACTTCCATAACGTAAATTACAATAAATGCTCACATTCAAAGCTTTAAAGTTTCCTAACTTTCTTGGTTTAACTCTTATGCTGTAGCACATAAATACAGTGACCTTTTTGCTGAATTATTATATTTGTACTTTTAAAAAGTATAAAAATATATTGTATTCAAAAACAAAAATTAGGAAAGAAACCATCTCTCAAACCAAACAGAACAAAGAGTTTAACATTCAATTCTTCTTTAAAGACTTTAGAAATGTAATTATACTGTAGTAATTAAATGGGCACATTGGAAACAAAAAATGTGAACTATATTTTCCTTTCGATATTTACGTACCTTATAGACAATTTTTAGCTTGATCAGTTCAATTCAATTCCAATTTATTTTATAAATTATAGCACATTAAGCAAATTACGTGAGTTGCATTAAGTCAAAATTTGAAAAATTTGATGCTTTTCTGGTGAGTGAAGGCATCATACTAAGAATTATCCAACAGTCTTCAGTGGTGACTGTAAAAGAGTGAAGAATCATTGAGATGCTGCTTAAAATGACAGAGGAAAAATGGAGGTGTAAAAAGGAAACCGTAACATATTGAGAAATGTCTGTTAATTCAGACTGCGACAGAGCAAGAGAGTGCAAGACTTTCAGCAGATAGCAGGAAGGCTTAACGTATTACTTTGTTCTACCATTATTAGTCTTTAAACGTTTCATGGATTATGCTGATTTTAGAAAAGAGTAGAAGAAAATTTTTTCTCTTAAGATTGCACAAACTTTTTTGCTAAAACAATTTAAACATTTGTTTTAGCAAATTTTATATTTCTTAACATTTCTGGGGTACATAATTTACTTTGTGTTTTTTTCACTGTCAAATTCTGGTCTCTGCTAATTACCAGAAACTCCAACTTTCCAGCACTTAAATTCTTCCGTAATTTCTTTTTCCATAACAGCAGTCGGATTGTCACCACGGAAGCCAATCACCCAATTTCAATTCAAGACTAAACCAAGCCTCCTTAATCGGTGTGCATCTAGGTCACTTCAACATGGCTCCTCTTAAAATGCACTCATGGTTGAGTCCCAAAGAGAGTAAAAGTGATGCAAAAATAGCCCAGACAAGTAAAGATAGCACCTAATTGTGTTGCTGTGTAGTTTTTTCATAATTTTACAAGCAATTAAGGATGCCTGCAGAATTGCTCTAAGCCAATTGCCATGTGAAAAAATTAAACACTTTTACTTAAACTGACAGAAAATAAACATTTGTTTTTGTTTTAGAAGATGAATGAAACAACAGCAATGTGATCTGTGTTCTTACTGGGACAAATACACTTATGTGTGTTTCCTAATTTTCTTTTTAAAATTTGCAAGATATTTGAGAATTTGGGAGAAATTTGAATAACATTTTATTTTTAGACACGGCACAAAATACATTAAATAAATTTAGATACAATAGTAAAATAAGTTAAATTCAATAAAAAGAGCAGAAGGTATCTGGTAGAAAAAGTGTTTTCAGTTGTGAGTTGGTCAAACCCGATGAGTTTGACCAAAACATTAGGCTGTGTAATGCTAATTAGAAATAAGGAACATCATTTACATGCAATATTATACAAAAAGTATATTTGTTTTTTTTTCTTCTGGACTATAAAACAGCTTACCGAACCACATCGACCTGAAAACGAGGCAAATGAGGCATTAAGGTCCCACCACAACATTTCAGTCAGGTTAACATGACTTAGTGAAGAAAAACGTAATTATTTGATCTTTCTGCCATGCAGTTACACATTAGTTGCCTTCATCATTGTTTAATAAATACGCTGCATGAACTGTGTTGTGTGTTACTGGTCAGATTAGACTGGTTTTATGACTCAATAAAGAAAATGCACTTTGGACAAAAAATATCCAGAACAGGATGTACTTTTTTTTTAATGAAAGTATTTCAGGAATTGAAATTCTCTAAAAAAAATAATAATAATAATCAGACTTGACAATTTATTAAGGTGCTCGGATTAGATTTTTTTGTTGTTGTTGTGAGCCTGTTTTGTCCGTTTTAATGGTCTTTTGACTCACTGTGAGCCAAAAGAACATGTTCTGCTAACTGTAATGATATTTGCAATGGCCTCAGTGGCACGTTGCATAACTTCTCAACATTGATTGTATTACTTAACAGAGTTCCAACCCTATTACCTAATAATTTCGGCATGTCCCTATTATATTAAGTAAAGTCAAGATATCGATCTAATTGGAGTCGAAGTTGGTTTGCTGAGGTGAAAAGAAGCTATTGATTGGGGAATTCATACATAACCAAACTCAAATTCTTCTTTCTCGGGTACTCGCAGAACAAACAAGAAGAGGGAATTATTTTTGTTTCTCCATTTTTATAAGTTCCGAAATTCTTCAAGGATGACAGTCTGAGCTGATGTAATGGGCTGTTTTTTCTGATCATTACTCACCATATCGTAGGTGGTGACGACCTTTTTCAGGACCTCTGGGAGCAGGCCTTGGAGCTCCAGGTTTGGGTACGGGTCAGAGAGGTTAAACACCAGGAGCGGGCTGTTGTCAGGTCCCGTCAGCCGAGGGGAAAGGGCCAAGATGCACTGCTTCAGGTTGGCCACAGCTGAAAGGCCGCAGAGCTCCTTAAAGGACACTATGGCATTCTGGGTTGAGACAAATTACAAATTAAATGCACTTAGTTTTGAGAGCAAAGCAAAATCTAATGCAAAGCGTATAATATTTCATTTCTGCAGGATAAGATCTTTATTTCAAAGACATTAACAGCTAAAACCAGGCCTCCAGAGATATGCTCAGTGACAGAGGGAGAGGCTGGAAGCCGTCATCGCCTGTGTCGTTTGTGAGAACTTTCATTTTGGCACTGTTAGCTGCTCCAAAGCACCCAATCCTTCTGAACTGACATAAGCGTCAAGTGGAAATGAAACATACATCCACGAAAACCCTAAGCTTCCTGTGAAAGGCCAAAATTAACCCTAGCATAAACAACCGCTGTGAGGGAGCAATCTAGATGTGTTAGTCTCATGGCTGCTGGCTTGTTATCTCACAAAGCAGCAATATAAACAGGAGGACCAACATACAGACCGATGTAACGCCTGAAGGAACAAAACATAATGCTGAACACAATGTGGCTGGACTCTGCTTTTCTCCTCCAGCTTTAATTTCTTTACAGATTCTTATTAAATGGTATGGGGACATGTTTATGTGGTTATGCTTTTGTATTTCTTCAATTAAACTTCAGTCAAAAGAGAATCTAACGTTAGGATTTCCAATATAATCTAATTTCATTGCACAAAGTTAATTCGGTCAGGATTAGTGGTGCTGCTGTAAAACATAAGCTAATGGATCGCTAACAGGAAATGGTCTTCGACACGGGAAAAATTTCCAACACTGAACTGGTTGATTATTTTCTTAATGAGCTATTAATAATATCGAGTTGGTTTGTTGCAAAGCTCGTTTTTTCACACTTATGATTACGATCAAAGAAAATTTTATGTCATACAGAGATGGTACTTAAATAATTTCATTATTCCGAGAATAAAACTATCCAAATCAACCTAGCCATGGGTTGAAAGAATCGACTCCTGTTTGAGTCATGACTTTTCCATTTTTTAAAACATTTTTGAAAATTCTTCTTTGCAAAATAGCTTATATTAATTCAGATTAAATAGATAACAGTGATTAATGAATTAACTGCGGAAATTTGGTACAAATTCTCAATTGTTTTTATGTTTAGTCTTTGATCTAATTATAGCTCTAGTTGTATATTCAGGGTTGTGATTCAAATGATTTTTTTTTTTTGGCTCTAGTGGCCTTTGTTTGAAAGTACTAGGACAGGAAAGTGGTTATTCATGCAAAAAAGGTCACCAGGCCGGGATTCAAACCTGTGACAGTCGCACTGAGGACTAAGGCCTCCTTTTGTGGGTTGTGCTAAGCTCTTGTGCCACCACAGCACCCTGTTTCAAGTGTCTTACATCTCTCCTCCAGAACTGCCTTCTGTTATTTCACTTTGTTAATCTTCCCATCAACCCTGATCAGCTTTACATGCAATATTAATTTTTACAACACATTTGCTTATCCGGTCTGTCAATTTAGGACCTAACTTGTCATGATGTTTGGCAGCCATGTTTTTGTAGGTTTGCAGTAGTGACGTATAGTTTCCATGTTGGAATGATAATCTGGTTTAAAGCTTGGGATTTGTATGTAAAGAATGACAACTGAATAAATAATTAATAAACATTTTATATATATATATATATATATATATATTAGAATATATAATATATAAAAATAGTAGAATAATAAAAAAAATTTATATGACAATTTCTTCATGTAGCAATTATATTTAAAAAATGGAAAACATAAATTATTCACATTAAATAGACTAAAATATAGCTCAAGACAGATTACTTAAAGTTGTCAACCCCTTATGTCAATCAAATGCAGCAATTTGGTGAAATTTGGTGAATCATCTTGTTCATCTGACTAAATGATGAACATAGATCAGGTCCAGGGAGTTCTTAGTAAAACACAAACATCTCATTGACTTGTCTTACCTGCATGTTTTCTCGGAGGTCGGTGGCCTCTCTGAGTGGCAGCTGGGCTGTTTTAAAGACCTCATCGACAGCCTTGATCTGCAGCACTCTCATACTAGCATACTCTCTGCTTTTCTTGCCTTTCCTTACTGACAATCCTCTTTTGTGTGGCTTTCCTCCACCTCTTCGATTGGTTATGGCAACATGGACAAAAAGCAAAGTATGAGGCAGCAACTCTCCTGTCAGAGACTGTAGCGGTACGTGGCGGAAACCAGGCTGGAGACACTCAAAGGGGATTGTATACTGGCCAATAAACTCGTCTCCAATATAGTCATCGTCTAGAACCACAAAGCGCACCATTGCGAGCTCAGGAAGGTTTATCTGAAATTCAAAGCTCTCATCAAACAGTGGATTGTCCCCATTTTGGTGGACTGTTTTAGTCCTCTGTTCTGCACAGTCTGCAGGAATGCCGTGTATTTCCACGTACACGTACGGGTCCACCACGTCTCCTTTAGCACCGGAGCCTTTGGGTTTTGGAAAATTTTGTCCGCTGATTATCTTGATGTGCAAGAGCTGTGGAGAAACCCCAGGCACTGAATCTTTTGTGTTGGCACTGAAATATGAGACCTGCTCCCTCATGATGGCTGGTCTGAGAACATAGCCACTGTTACCATTCTGACGAAACCAACCGATGTTCAAGTCCATCATTAGCCCAGGAGTCTGGTAGTTCATGGCTACAATCTGGCAGCCGCACTTCCAGAAATCTTGTGGATTCATGTTGCTGGAGTCGATCCGCATTGGGCTCGGGTAAACTCGTGCAAGAAACTTCTTATTGTAGTTGACAAAGTCCCCAGGGAAATCACACGCACAGCGAGTGGCAAACACCTCATTGAAAGAGCAGAGTTCCCAGGGTTTCTGCTTCTGGAAAGATGTTGGAAAGTCTTTGAACTCCACAGATTTACACAGTGTCACCAGATCAGAGAGGTCCTTAAGCAGCGGGATCTTTTTGGGTGCATTAGTTTGCTGCTCTGTGGACTCGATGCTCATCCTCTGAGACATCTCTGCCCCCTCGTCCTCGTCCGTCACTTCTCCTTCTGAAGCAGTACAGTTTGAATCTAACTTCTTACCCTTCAGCAGGATCTTTCCCTTCAACTCAGATGGAGATGGGAGGTAACAGTCCTCGAGTTTTGGAGAATCTACGTGAATCTTGTCTCCAAGGATCTTCTTCAAATGCTGAAACATGACTTTCTGCTGTTTTACAGAACAATGGTTTTCCAAACATAGAATCAAAGGAAACTCAGAGGCAACAAAGGCATACTTATTGATGACATCTATGACGCTGCGGAAAACAATCTGTGAAGTCATTGTGTGACCTGTATAGATAACGGGCTCGTTGTCAGAACCGTCCCACACGTCCAGCTCCACACAGCGACAACCCATCTTCAGAGCACGGATGTACCCAGTCACATCTGAAGGACCTCTGAATTGATCCTCTATCAGATAAGTGTTGTGGGATGCGTTGATGTAGTAGTGGGACAGAGGCTGGTTCATGTCTTGGCAAACGGATTTGTGCTCAGGGTCAAATATGTGGCACTCTGCAGACATAAGATAGTTAGAGAACCCATCAAGAGAGAGCCATCCCTTTAGCCGACCCTCTTTGGATGGTTCATACTTGTGAATGACATTTAAGCTGGTGTCTTCACTGACCTGAGCCATTCCCTGCTCTGCCTCCAGAAATATCATTAAGTCCTTAGTATCAAGAAACTCCTTGTTACTGGAAAACTGAACAAAAAGAAAATAAATCTCTGGTCTTGTGCAAAGATCATGAAAGACTTCAGCAAACTCCTCTTTTGTCACATCAGACCCACTCTTGTCTTGAGCTTTGTGGAGCTCCTTGAACTTTAGTTCTATTTTCACATTTTTAAGTCCCGGGTTTAGATTCTTTATTAGCTGCACGGCAGCACATATTGCTATCTGTTTGTTGTGATTACCGTCTTCTTCATCAAAGAGGTCGCTTAACCAAGATGAGCGCAAGTTGTTCTGGCTGCTCTCGATCATATTCAAGGTATGCTTCCCATAAGAGATCAGGTATCTCAGACCAGTCACCCATATGTTGGCTACATCTGCTGTGTTCGCCACCAAGTCCAGGGACTCATAGTTCTCTCCAAAGATGACTGAAAAAGCACAATCCTCTGATATCTGGTCATAGGTGCCATTAGTTCTAAAAGTGTCTGTATTCTTGCCTGTTCTGACCTCCTTGATGGACTTCACATCTATTTTTGCCTTTTCAGACTCCTTCTTTGTTGGCTCCCACCTTAATGATTGCATGTCGGCGTCGAGAAGAAAGTAGCGGTGGTAAACACGTGAATTGGATCGCACTTTTTTCAGCTCCGAGCCATCCACCATGGCATTGATGCAGTCGCTGACTCTACTGATCTTCTTTTCAGTGGGCATGCTGCTGAATGAGACGGTCTTCTTTCTTTCTTTTCGTTGTCTTCCATCCTATAAAGAGAGAGAAACACTATAAATAAGTCAATTCATGCTTCACACTGTCACCAGATGTTTTAAAATTGGACTCTAGAGTGTTTTATATATCATTAATGTCCTTACGCCTTTATTCCTGTACAACAATAGGTTATTAAACACAAGTTTAAATTAGTTGAGTATGAGAAGCATTGTCATTGGTACCAGCCAATTTTTGCTATCAAGATGCTACAAGGTTTTAAAAATTGTTATACTTTTGAAAACCCCAATTTTTCTTTATTAGGTTCCTAAAAGCAATATGCAGGAACAACAAAACTCAACGCTGTCCCTCCCTCACCTGGTGCTGTGCCTTTGAGCTAGTCAGCTGCCTAAAAGACCAATTCCCCTGGGTGAAAACATTTCTGTTCATAATAATACATGAGTATTCATGGCCTGCAAAATCAAAGGGCATTATCCATCACACTTACTAGGTAATGGCATTTTAAAATTACACTTGGCAAACTATGAGCAGCATGTCTGTTGTGCAGCCAAGAGTCGGGTCTACCTGTACAGAAAGCCTGACTAATGAAGCAGTTAATAGCAGCTTGTTATATCACTTTATTTTCTGCACAATAGACACTTGAAAACTACCACATTTTGAGGGTCTTATTTAAAAAGGAATGTGGCAACATAAATTTTACAAAGTAACCTCCAAATGAGCTATTGCACTCTTTGGACAGATGTGACTGACATATAGATCTCTGGGTGTCATTTATTGTATGATGTTAAGAGAAAGCCAAAGATTAGTATATTGCATTAGAACAAAGTAGTGAACAAATAGTGGAGGGGTAATGATTTGTGCTTGTTTTTGCAGTCGCGGTATCCTGGCACTTCTTTTAAGGTGCAGCTCTGTTATATCACTTTCAAGAGTCGACTTTGATTTGGTTGATTTGCATCTCCTCTGCACGACTGAATGCTTCCTGATTAACGAACAGGAAGCATGAGAACAGGCGCGTTTGGCTCAGCTGGTGGACACATCTGTTCTCAACTCCAGTTTACTTTCACTTTCAGTTAATTTGTAAGACAACTGCTGTCAGTGAGCCAAAGAGGTTTGTTAAATTAAACTGGTTTGTGTCTCCTGTCATCTACACAGTTGTTTATTTTAGTGAATTTAAACCGTTTTTGCCTGAAAACATATGCTCCTCCTGTTGGTTATCTTTAGTCAAAACAGACTGTCTACTGGACAATCTTAAAGAGTAAGTAGGATGTTTATGTGGATAAATATTTCAAACACTGCAATTTTGTTGCAAAGATGAACAAAAAGTCGAAATGCCAAAACTGCAACAATTTAAGAATGTCAAAATACTTTTTCATGATAAAATTAGCCTAAATGTTTGGAAGAGAGTTTTTTTTTATTTTTATAAAATACTCCAAATGCAACATATTGAGAACAAATTGTCCAAATTATAATCATTATGGCAACAGTTACATTAGTCATTATGGATGGGTTTCTTATCCGTTTGGAAAATTATTAACTTTGGTAGAACACAGTGGTTTCAGTACTGTAACTTTTGTGAAGCTATTGTTTTCACTTAATTCCCCAAATTTTTTCATTTAATGATCAAATAGTTTGAATGTGTTTTTTTTCTTAAATTGTCATTATTCTCAAAAATAAAATGTTGTCTTTATAATAAAATTTTAACTTTTCATAAAACAGACCAGAAAAAAAACAAAAAAACCTGATACTCCATTACAGAAAACATGACAAACTGACCAAAAAAGTATAAATAAATTTTGAAGACCGCGTTAATTTAACAGAATAGACTAGGGGAAAAAATAACTCTGGGGAAACATGTGAACCTGCTGAATAAGGACATAGGGTTGCAAAGCTGAAAAGTACAGCTCCATGCTCACTGTAATTAGGTTTAGGCAGCTCACTACCTCCCGCAACGAGTCTCCAGCTCACTCACCACATTTTTAACTCTCTCAAGACGGGCCTTGCACGTTACATTGTCCTGCCTGGTTTCCATTTGTTCCTGCTGAATATTTTCTCTTTCAAAATTACTGCACCTACTCTGCAGGGTTGACTTAAGGTAGCTGTCGCTGCTTATTATGGAGGTACAACAGGGAATACCCCCCAGGAGAGTGTCGCCCACTCGAATCTAGCAGACGGATGTTGATAATGTTTTTCCTTTTTTAACCACAGGGACACCATTTTACATTCTGGACTCTTAACACATATTTTGCATATTCTGACAATCCCATTTAGCCATAATGTGTGGGCCTAATGGAGATGGTTGATACCAAAGGAATCTATTATCTATGATGTCGGGATAAAAATAGCCTGTGCTACTCTCCAGCAGAAACCCTTGATCTTATTGTCTTTGGGGAGCGCTCAGACCCTTCCAGATTCACATGTAATTAGAATCAGATGTTGACTACTTATATACTGCAGGACTAAGACTTCGATGTTTTCTTATTTTAAGCCGGTGCACTTAAAAACTCTATCTGACAATGTTAACGATTATAAATTTGACTCGTCTGCTTACCGTTTCCCCTGTGATCTCTGTGCACAATCAGTACTCAGCAGCTCCTGCCAGAGACACACAGGGATCTGCTACGCTGTGGTGCACTCTGCGTATACTTCTTTGATAAATACCAATTCAGTTAACAAGGTTTTGTCTGAAAGAGTGTAAACCAGCTTGGCTTAAAACAACCTTTTCGAATTTGTGACAAAAGTCATGTTTTAATGTAGTCCTGGAGAACAAAGACTGAAAAAACGAAAACCAAAGATGGGGAATCAAAAAATTTCTGTCAGTCTTTTAGACTTTCTGCAACTTCATCATGCAGAAGAGCAGCTTAAATGTCAATGCATGACTGCAGATAATCCCCATCAACAGAGAAAAGGATGAGGAAGTTTTGCCTTCATGGCAACACTGAGCTGTGTTATTTAAGGCATACTTCAGGATTTCCTTTAGCCAGTAAAAAAAAAAAATCTGAACAATTGTGCATACACTTTTTTTTTTGTCTTAACGTTTACATGAGTGGAATACTTCTTATGTAACATTCGCTCTTTTTGGTAGGGTGGTGGAAGGTGTTCTCTGCAGTTTTAGTCCTAAAATGGTGTTTAAAATACAAGATATCCTCAATCGGAAAAAAAATATTATTAGCTTCACCAGACAGTAGTTTTACAGGGAACAGAGTCTTCCATCTAGACCAAATAGACGTAATCTATTCATGTCTTTATCCCTAAATTACCTTCCAACAGAGCTATAAACAAAATTTAACAGTCTGAAGAGTTTAATCTTTAACAGTGCCTTTACACGAGTTGTTTATTGGTTATAAGCATGTTATGAGTACTTTATGAGCACAAGCTGAAAAGAATATTTCATAACTGAAGAATTGCAGCACCAGTGAGAACATGTTCTGTCAGAGGTATTGATCAAACTTTGCGGTTACACACAGTCCGCACAAAGAACACTTCGTATTATTTCAAATTAAGGGCAAAAATACAGTAGCTCATCCATCATTTCTTTAATAGAAGAGGATCTTATTCTTTGAAGACAGAATAGTTAATGATAATTGCACTATGATTGAGATTTTGCTTGTCAAATTTTTACAGTCTTTCTGCTGTTTCACAACAACACACATAAATTCTGCAATCCTGTATTTCATTTATGACTGAATAAATTATCTTGTGGTTTTTTTTGCAGCTAAGCCAAATGTCCTAAGATTTGATCCTAATAAAGATCCAAACCCTATTTGATTAAAAACTTGTCAATGCCAACTCAAAAGCAATGCAAAAAGACACAGGAATGAAAAAGTGAGTAATCTCAGTCAATATCAGTATCACTATCCATTCTTCCAGACACCCACAAATGTTTTTTCTCCCAATTTAAATTCTTACGAAAGTTTTAAATGGTAAAATATGCTCTGATGCTCATTAACTCGGTTAAAAAACTTATTGTAGTTAAAGATCAAATCTAATGAAATAGTGCTTAATCTAAAAATGTAAATAGTTTTGAATGAGATTTTTTTAATGACATCTCATTCAAAATGTGTAAATTCACATTTTGCACCAGCAATTACAAAGCTTAGTTAGCATGTTACTCAGTTTTGATACGACTCAAAAATTTGCCTTGGAAAATTAAGTTTCACTGCAACCAAAAATTTTGCTAAATAACAAAAATGACATACAATTATAGCTTTTAAAACTTTATTACGGGCAAAATATCCATACCCAAATATAATGTTGATATTTTAAGTATATTTAAAACCATCAGTAGAAGAAAGATAGGTATTTGAGCAACTATATGATTTTTTTTCATAATACAAATCACACAATCAGTCTACCCAGGTTCTTTTTTTAGTATAATTCTTCACCGTATGTTTGCTGGGTGACGACATATATGTACGGAGTGAGAAGAAGGGTAAAACATGAATATACAGGATGAAGGAAATAAAAAAAATGGAAGTACGTCCAACTGCTGACAGATCCCAAAAGAGACTGAATCCTCTAATGGAGTGAAAATCACATTATTCTGGCTCAATGAGCAGTTATGAACAGATCACATGGGACCCATTACTCTTTGCTCTACTGTTCCAACTACGCCATCATCAACTGTAATGACCTGAATCACACTGCACCATACATTAGCGTTTAAGTTCTGCTTTGACTGCTGATGATAACGTAAATCAAAAGAAGCGACGTTACTAGAAATATGTAGCGCACAATAAATAAGAGTGAAGTGCGTGTGCTGCTGTCTGAATCATCTTCTAAAGCTACTGTAGATGCCAAAGGTAGCAATACATTTTCCTCTAGTACAAGTTGAGAAACAGGCCAAGGATATGAATAAGCTCACACTACTCCCAAGATCTTAACATTCAAATTCCACATCTGCAGGTTTGGATATTCATGTCTAAGGAGAAAGGGTTGCTGCGCATTTCTCATGTCAAACTTTGAGTCTGATTTGAGTCTTTTCCAGACTCAAATCACAGAGCTCTAAATTCTAGCATGGAAGCAAAAAACACAGCAAGGA